AACTTCTTTGGCATCTTCAATCTTATGCCATACATAGGAAAGGCAGCTTCTTATCAGCAGAATGGGAAGAGGACCAGTTACTTGCCACAGTGAAACCCACAGAAGGATGGTGACTAATCTGCTTTTTGGCATGATCTTGCCTGTCCAGTAGCTGCAACTGAATTCAAGACGGCTGGACATGAAAGGTTATAAGGATAGGAGAGAAATGGGTATCTTAAGGATAGTAGCAGCAAGTTCTAGAATGACTGGCACTCCCCCTCAAAGGCACCTTGGAAACTTGCGCGTAGTGGCAGATTGTCAGGTACACCTAACCGATGGAGCCAAGCTGCCTTTCCACTGGTTTCTTAAGAGAGCCGGCACCATTATTCAGTGCAAGCAAACTAAGTTTAAATAAATATATGCCAAACCCCACTTCGTATTAGCCACATCTTCAGTCTTTACCCAAGAGATTCTCAAAAAGTTGATATAGAAAATTGCTTCCTATTTCCCCCAACTGCCCACCCCCAGGAGGACGGTTTCTTCCTCTCCTACATAATTTCCACCATTTTTGCTTTATTTTAGAGACATGTATGGATATTATCATACCTGAAATTAATCTAGATGAGAACTGTACCAAAATCTTAAATTTTAGATGAAAATTACTGCAAATTCTGCTCTGCTTCAAAAATGCAGTGCATGTTGCAACCTGACGTTTTGGCAGGCACCTGCATTTGGATTTTAGTACAAGTAAGTTTTTAAATTCCAATGCCTATTCTTTTTAATTAAAAGGATTATTTGGGATTAACTGTATAAACAAGCTTAGTTTATAAATCTAGTTATTTTCCTAGATGGCTCATGGGTAGCCTACAGAAATGGCCTTTCTAGATTATTATGTAAGCATATTAGCAGCAAACAGAAAACCAGCTGTACAATCGTTGTGCCTTAAGCAGCAGCTTACTAGAAAAGCCCAAATTGCTGTGCAAGATGTTTTAAAATAGGATACAGTGTTGAATAATTTAGCTATTGGTTATACACATACACAAAAACAAGTTCACGGTTGGCCTCCTTAGAAGCTCAAAAATGGCATTTACATTATAAGTGGTTAAAAAGGTGCTTAACTTGTCATGACAGGAAACAAGAACATGTTTGTTTTTCTGGATACTAAAAAGGGGGCAACTTTTAGCAGATTAGTCAGAGACACTCAAACAGCAGCAAGTCTCAAGAGAGTTCAGGTAGGAGGGACGTTTGGTATAAAACCTGTCATCATATTTGCCAACATACACTTTAAAAAGTCTCCACTAAGGTCCTCTAATCACAGACTTTCTGCTTAGAGATGCTCATTCTTTTACGGAATGAGTAATGGAACTTCATGGAAGGGTTTAATACTACAAACAAGTACACAGTTCATGTGCACTCCCCCCCTCCCCCCCCACTACTGGGTTATAAATCTGACAGAATAGCGAATACATTTTTCAGTAAGTAACAAAAGTTTCTTCCTCCAAATAGAAGTTCTGGTGTTTGGTCAAGCTGTTCATGAAATAGCACCTCAGAGTATAGTTAAATGCAACAGGTGTCTATTTTTATGTTCCTCCGGCAAATAGTTGCTAGTTGCCTTGTTTAACAATGAAATTAAGCACCCAGCAAAGCAAGAATTTCATAAAGCACGTTCTCATTGACAAGGGAGAGATGAGACAGGGAGCTAGATTCTTGTAATGCTGTGGATCTTTCACAATTTGCCTCGAGTGCTCTAACACAAATACTTGCAGAGACAGAACTGCCACCCACGGTGTTCACATGAAGAATATGACAGCAGCAGTGTTCCCTCTAAGCTGAGTTAGTGTGAGCTAGCTCATAGTTTTTTCGCCTCCAGCTCACACATTTCTGTCTTAGCTCAGGAAGGGACGGCTCCAGAGCAAACTGATTTATGCAGCAGCCAACTCGCTTGCTCACAGCTTTAATGCCAATAGCTCACAAAGTAGAATTTTTGCTCACAAGACTCCACAGCTTAGAGGGAACATTGGACAGCAACCATTCAGTCGGCCACAGTGCCAACCACTGTTCCCTCTAAGCTGAGTTAGTGTGAGCTAGCTCACTGTTTTTTAGCCTCCAGCTCACACATTTTTATCTGAGCTCAGGAGGGATGGCTCCAGAGCAAACTATTTTATGCAGCAGCCAAATTACTTGCTCACAACTGTATTGCCAGTAGCTCACAAAGTAGAATTTTTGCTCACAGGACTTCACAGCTTAGAGGGAACATTGGTGCCAACCTCTGGGTACTCCCGTCCTGCCTACTCAAAGATTTCACATTCTAAGGGCTTGACTATTCCGAACTATGTAAAATAAGGGAGATGCAAAACCAAAACAGGCACTTGTGCTATCTGAGTGGTCAATTAAGGGCTGAAAGATTTTTTGGTATCATTACCACTGCTTGTTCACAAACATATAACCTGTCAATCACTGCAAAAGTTCTGAAGATGAAGATCTTGGTAGAGGAAACCTTATTAGCCAAACTCTTCAGTGCCAGAAAATCTTTGTTCTAATGGGACCTTCAGCTGTTGGTAAGAATACTCCCCATCCTAAAGAAATTAAAAAACCCAGTCCTAAGCAGACATACCTCAAGGGCCTCTGCTAATAATCATGTGCAGCTCAGCTTTGCAAAAAGCTATACAAAACAAATCTATTAGGTTTTCTTCTCTTGTCTATCACGGGCACAATGAAGTATGCTACCTATATACATCCACACATTTGTTCTCTAATGGCACTTGAACATGCATCGTTATTCACATTGCTTTGCTCATCTGCGTTAGAACGCTACATATCCCCCTCCCCCTAGCTGTGGTCTTTGACATATGGCAGATTGTTTGTGATATAAGAGGAAGAGTGACAGGTTAGAAGTGAAAGGGGGGCGGGATTTCCTGTTATAAATATGCCCAACCCTTCTTTTGTTCCTGTAGCATAAAATTATACTTGTGCTTCCACAATGCAAATCACAATTGGGGAGGGGGAGGGAATTCCCCAGCCCTGATGGAAAATAGGCCAGACAAGAAGTGGGACCCATGATACTCGCGGGGGGGGGGAAGCTCCATGTGGAGGAGAAGGAAGCAGCCCTTCTCCCCCCCGCACCAACGGCGAGGCCCGCGCGGCTCCCAGCTGCCGGGCCCACCAAGCCTTCTCCCTCCTCTTCCCCGGTGGCAAGGCCTGAGCTCGGCCCACCAAACCTTTTCCCCCCCTCC